TGATAATTCTTTTTAGTTTATAAATGGTTGTCTTAATTTTTAAATTTGAGAAAAAAAAATGTAAACTCAAAAAATAAGTCTACATTAGTTTTTAAATAGAAATTTAAAAATTTGAGTAACAATTTTTTTTTTTTCAAATAGTTTTTTTTTTCAATTAATTTTTTTTAAATTAAATTTTTTTTAATTATTTTTTTTCCAACTAGTTTTTTTTTCAATTAATTTTTTTAATTAGATTTTTTCAATTATAATGTGTATGATCCCATTGTCATAAATAATAAAAAATAAATATAAATATTTTAGGCTTGAACAAACATATTTTTTAGTTTATGTTTTTAAAATTTTTCAAACATTTTGTTCAATCCAAACGCTTTTGTAGTTTATGTTTTTCTAAAAATAAACAAAAAACAGTTTATAAAATTTTTGTAAACATAAACAAAAAACGTAAATATTACCAAACGCTACATGAGTGTTTTTTTATTTTAGGAAAATGTTGATCTATGTTGTTAATATTGGCAGATGTACAATATATATATATATATAATTATGTAAAATTATTTTGGGATATATAAAAAGTGTGCTGTAGTTATAAATATTTTGGTATTATATTCTTAGTTAGCATAACCCTTTATTTAAAATCGTTTCAATTAAAAAAATGAAAAAATAAACAAAAAATAAAATCATTGAATTAAATTTTGTTCTACGAGCATGTTGCAAAATCATGGATTCGAGCCATGACATCCTATCCCCTGCCCTTTTAAATATGAGATATGCATGGTGATCTTTTCGTACTTGAAAAAGGATAAAGTATAGTTTAATGATACAATTGAACTTAGCTACCTATAGATCTCGTCAAAACAAAACAAAAAAAAACTTGGGATACTTTGCTTCCATTTGTACTCCAATTCTATGTCTCATCCTCTTAGTATTATCTCATTGTCAAAATTCAAATTTAAAATTAATTTTTTAAATTTTGTTATTTATTGATAAATAGATAAATTGGATTGAATTTAAATTGGGGAGAGACTATAAAGAGGAAATTTTTGAATCCAACAAATGGATAACTACGAGAAAAAAGCATACAACCTTGCGTGGATGATCAACCTACAAAACGTGCTGATTTTCATCTTTCTTTTTCACAAAAAACAAAAGCTGTTTTCCATTTTAAGATTAAAAGTCAAATAGACTATAAAGAATTTGAATTCTAACAGTAAAGTTGATTAGTATAAGGATGGTGGTAACAAAAGTTGTTTTTCTTGACTTCATTTTTTTAATTTTTAGGGATTTTTTTTTAATTTTTTTTTAAGAACCTTTTAGATAAGTAGAATTTGAAAAGGAAAAAAAAAAAAAACAAATTAGTGAAATATCTCTATTCAACTTTGGTAGTAGGAGAGGTCCAATATATTTTTTCTTATTAGTTAAGGCCTTTCAATAATATTATTAAAAAAGATTCAACTCTTTACAAAGAAATTTCAAATTTCTCTGTAAAATTTTTGAAATTTCTCTGTAAAAATGTTGAGGATCCCAACTATTATGAAAATATTGTATGCATTTTATCTTATAAAATCTTTTAATATTAGGAATCCTAAACTAAAAACCTAAAAAAATAATAATAATAACCATTTAAAAAATAAAATACTAGAGATTAACAGTTTTAAAAAAATTACGATCTCTTCATTTGTGCCAACAAAGTCTTGCTATAATTAAATATTATCTAACATGACACATATTACAATAATGGCATCATTTAATCCGCATTGCATTTTATCTTAAAAAACAATAATATTTTGAAGGCACCATGTGAGATGGTATCCAAATGTGGTACTTAAATATGATTGTAACAATAATATTCATTATTGTTATTTTAATTTTCTAATTTAATTAATGAGTGTTTTAAAATCACTACAACATATGTAAGAATCAAACATTTTCATCCTCAAAAGTAAAAAACTTATTACAAAAAAATATTAAAAAGCCCAATTTTCAATTGTCACGAAAAGTTCATGCCAAAAAGTCAACAAAAAAAAAATTAATGACAAAATTAAAAAAATACCATTAATAAATGTAATTTTAGAAACAAAATAATTTCTTGAAAAAGAAAAAAACTAACAAATTTTGGTCAAAAGAATTATAATTCATTACTAAATGTCTAAATTCATAGTTTTAGCTATTAAAATATTTTGCTATATTTTTATTTTTAAAATCTTAATTTATTATAGTAAATTATTTGTTAATATAATGAAAATGATTTATGACAAGTTTCAAGTTTACCAATGCTAGGTACAATTTTTTTTTTTTATATTTAGGGTTGTTTTGAAAATATATTATTTTAATAATTTTTTAATTTTTAAATTAAAATATGAATTGAAAAAAAAATTAATATGTTTTGAATAATTTTTTAATTTTTTATAAAAAAAATCGTGTAAAAAATAAATAAATAAAATTTAATTTTTTTATATAATTCTTTCACTTTTGAACTTTTTAGTAATTTTTTAACTAGTGTTCAAGCCTCGTTTAAAAAAAAAAACCACTAATATTCAAACTTTCCAAATTCGGATAATTTTCAAACAGTTGACTACTTTTGTGAAGCGTAACCGTTGAGCACGGAATGAACACCACGCATTACGCTGAGGAAATGACGGCTGTGCCTAAGTTTTCGTCACCTAATGTGTGTTTGGTATTAATTATTTTAAGTTAAAAACTAATAATTAAAAAATAAAAGTTAAAAGTATTTTTTATTTAATTTTTGAAAAATTAATTTTTTTAAATTTATTTAAATTATTTTTACCTAATAAATTATAAGTAAAAACTGTATCAAATAATTCAATACAAACCCTCTTATTAAAATAAATTATAAATTACTTCTATAACTCCCACCAAACACCCCCTGAACCGCAGACCCTTTGACTTGCAAGAAGAATATTATTCGGTATCCGACTTCTATTCTTCCCAAATTTAAGAATTTGACATCAATTCTTTTTTTTTTTTTTTTTTTTTTTTTTTTTTTTTTTTTTTGGGTGTTACTTAAATTAGTACTTTTTATAATTTCCTCTTGGAATTTGTTCAGTTCATTTTAGTAAGGATAATGTTTTCCGCTTTTTCCTGTCATTTGCGGTATTATTTATCATAAATATCATAACTTAATTGATATCTTTTATTTGTTGGTGATCGTTTTGCTTTTTTATTGTAATAATATTTTTTTATGTTGAGATTTTCTTTTTTCATGGAGTTTTCCTTCTCCTAAGGTGGATGTTTGTTTTTCTCCTATGTGTAGACTCATATCCTCCTTGTATTGAGGTTCTCTTTATCCTTTTTGAGATCTATTTTGAACTCTAACATACTTTATTGGATAACTTATTATCGAGTGCGCAATGTATTAAGCCTTGTGTTTTCTCATAAAAATAAAAATAAAAAATCATTTAGTTATAACGACAAAATAAAAATAAAAATAATTAAGTTATAACCAAACATCACATAAGATACAATTAAAAATCTTTTGAATTATAACTAAAATGATATCATAATTAACACCATAATCAGTTATAACTAACGTCACAATAGTCATAACCAGATTATAATTAACACCATAATAGGTTATAATCAAATATTACAAAAATCATAATTAAGGTGCATATGGTGCACACATTTTTTCTTTTTAGTTATTTATTTAATTATTTTTCAAGGGAAAGAATTTTTATAAGTAATAGGAAAAAAAAAATTGTCAATTGATGGCAGAGTAATTATAAATATGAGAAATATTACAATATCAAATATACTACTAACTCCCAATAGTTGCAAAGTTAATAAAGCCTACCTAAGAATCATTTACTAAGTTTAAGTCCAAGCCCAATAATTTCCATAATGGTGAAGAAATAAACGCCACCACAAACCCCTATATACCACAACGAGTATCGACTCCTATTCATAAGAGTTGAATTCGAAACCTCACACTGTAAAAGGTGTTACACAACTACTACAACAAATGTCTTGGCTAAAGGAATTGCAATTAGAATTGAAATCAAAGATGAATTGTATAGCATCATCAATCAACATATAGCATACGATGAGCCACTTCATCAAGACATTGATACTGACAGCCACAAAACCCAAAGGATTTAACCATAACCCAAAAATCTTGAATTACTTTTGTAAATTAAAATGTTGCCTATACGATTTAAGCTTTGATACACCTCTTTCACATTGCTATGGATAATCACATCAATGTAACCACAATTCTTAGCTACAAAAGTGCTTCTTGGATGGCCATTGCTTCTAGTAATTTTGATGAAGAGTTTGACTATGCAGGTGAAAAACTACAAATATCTAATCCTAGGTGTGATGCCTACGGAAATCTAGGTGGAATGCCTTTTTTATTTTTTCCTTTCTTCTTCTTCATATGTTACATGTTTATTATTAAGGATTGAAAGTGAGGAATAGGGAACATTTACAACATTTGGCAAGAGTAAATTTATTGAAATTTCTAATTGAGATTTATTTTGTATTTAAAACGAATTTAAATAAAAATTATTAGTAATTTTTTTTGCACTTACATTTTTCAAAAAAACCCCCCCCCCCCCCCCCCCAATTTTTTTATTTTTTCCTTTCTTCTTCTTCAGATGTTACATGTTTATTATTAAGGATTGAAAGTGAGGAATAGGGAACATTTGCAACATTTGGCAAGAGTAAATTTATTGAAATTTCTAATTGAGATCTATTTTGTATTTAAAAAGAATTTAAATAAAAATTATTAGTAATTTTTTTTGCACTTACATTTTTCAAAAAAAAATTATTTGTTTTAAATAAAGAATTTTATGCAAAAATTTCATATAAATTCATCAACAATCGATAATTTCAGTTCACTTTTATCACACAATGTTCATTGCATCTCAATTTTATCAAATTATTAATAAATTCATCTAAAAAGACTTTATTAGACAATGTTCATTGCATCTCAATTTCGTCAAATTATCAATAAATTCATCTAAAAAGACAACAATTTCAACTCAAATTAAATTAAATATCACCGACTATTTTATTTCCATCGAGATAAATTTACTCTTAATTATAACTTAATATGTACCCTACTTAGTACAAAATGAATTAAACTTCAACCCGCAACAAATCTCTAACACCCTTTTCATATCATTATATTTGGATCATAAATTTGAAAAGAAAAAAAATTAATTTACATTTCATTCACATTTATCTCATCTTTTTTATTTTTCTTTTCGAATTCATAATGAAATACAGGCTACAGCCCAATCTTTTTGAAAGCATCCACTAAATTCCTCTCCACACCCACCTCTCCAAAGCCAAAATGTTAGCCCAAAGAATTCCATAAATCTACACAAATGCCCTCCATTCTTTCACTGCCGAAACCCAAACAGTCCAGGCTGAAACGGGTACCGAATTCCAGACGGGTCGACCGAGTTAACAAAATCCTGAGCGAACCCATTCGAGCTCTGCTGAAATAACCCCGAGTTCTCAACTCGCTGAGTTCCGCGTCCGCTCTGAACCTCTTCATCTACAGAGCTCCCAAAGGAAGGGACACACACGTCATTATAGGTATTGTTGTGGGTATTCATAATTTTCGCCGGAGATTGGTTTCCGGGAACTAATTCCGGCAAGGTGGTGGTGGGTCCGGCGAGAGTTGCCCAGTCGAAATTGGCCGAAGAGAGGCTCTGAATGTTGATTTTGTCGTCGGGTCGGGTGGGTATGAAGGAGTTGGGTTTGGGTAATGTGAAGAAGTGGTGATTGATTTCTGGTAATGATGAGTCTGTTAACATATCGTCGAATTGAGAGGAAGCGGAGGAGGAGGAACCGTGGCTCTGTTCTTTGGTTGGATCATCGAAAATGGGTTTTTGGGCGCTCGAGTTCTTCTTGTAGATCCGACACAGGACCCAATCATCTAACTGTGATACAAAAAAAAAAAAAACAAAAAAACTTCTCAAAATTAATCATGGAAGAAACAATATTTCAAAATTTTGCAAAATAACAAAATTAAAATATTATGGACCAAAATAGCATAACGTATGTATTTTAAAGGAAAAATTATGATACACCCTATTTAAAAAGTGTGTAATATATGTATCTTAAAATTAAAAAAAATAATATAATTTTATATTTTTTGAATCATAACTAAACATTATATAAAACATAATCAAAATAATATCATAACTAAAGAAGAAAAATAAATAATTAAAAGTGTATATGATACACAACTTTCAAGGAATGTATATAATAGAATTTTTCATTTTTAAAATCAAAATGAAATAAGACTCAATACTTTAGAGATTAAAGATAACAAAATGCATAGGACCATTTGTGGATTTGATTTGAAAAATAATCTTAAAATGCAAAAAAAGCTATACAATATTTAATTATAATATGACAATATTAATTAAAAAAGCTGTACCAAAATAATATGACAATATTAATTTAAAAAGCATAAAGGAAATTTTAATATACACCTCTTTAAAAATGATGTACCATATATACCGTACTTATGTTTTTTTTTTAAAATGGGTTTTTGGGCGCTCGAGTTCTTCTTGTAGATCCGACACAGGACCCAATCATCTAACTGTGATACAAAAAAAAAAAAAACAAAAAAACTTCTCAAAATTAATCATGGAAGAAACAATATTTCAAAATTTTGCAAAATAACAAAATTAAAATATTATGGACCAAAATAGCATAACGTATGTATTTTAAAGGAAAAATTATGATACACCCTATTTAAAAAGTGTGTAATATATGTATCTTAAAATTAAAAAAAATAATATAATTTTATATTTTTTGAATCATAACTAAACATTATATAAAACATAATCAAAATAATATCATAACTAAAGAAGAAAAATAAATAATTAAAAGTGTATATGATACACAACTTTCAAGGAATGTATATAATAGAATTTTTCATTTTTAAAATCAAAATGAAATAAGACTCAATACTTTAGAGATTAAAGATAATAAAATGCATAGGACCATTTGTGGATTTGATTTGAAAAATAATCTTAAAATGCAAAAAAAGCTATACAATATTTTGTACCAAAATAATATGACAATATTAATTTAAAAAGCATAAAGAAAATTTTAATATATACCTGTTTAAAAATGATGTACCATATATACCGTACTTATGTTATTTTTTTTCTTTAGTTATAACCAATTTTCTTTTTTAGTTATGATATCATTTTAGTTATGGCTCTAGAGTTTTTTAACTACAACTCATGTTACATTTAATCATGACATTTTTTAACTATAACTCAAAAAATTAAAATTATATAATTTTGCATTTTAATTACAAAGTATGTGCCTGTTTGGCAGAAATTATTTACAGCTTATTTCAGCTTTCAGCTTAATTTAAACTATTTTGATGTGTTTGGTTTAGCTTATAGTTTATAGCTTATAGCTTTGTGGAAGTCAGAAATCAGCTTATTTTTGAGTGGGACAGGAGATGCTTTAAGAATAAGCTGGAAATCAGGTTAAGCTGAAAGTTATAAGCTATAAACTGTTTAGGCATAAGCTATAAGCACTTTCCCACAGTTCTACCAAACAGGACTTATATATGGTACACCGATGTACACCGTGGTGTTTCCCAAGTATAAATCATATTTACGAATCTTTATTTTTAAAATAATAGTAGGTTTCAAAGGCTCCTACATCATTCTAGATCAAAATTCAATATAAATTGTTTATTTGTATATAACTATTATTTTCATTTTAAATAGGTAGCTTATTTACTTATCTATCATCTTTCTATTTTTTTTAACATATTTTATAAAAAAAAAATTAAAAATTATTAAATAAACAGATCACAATCTAATTCAAAAAACAAAAACGAAAACAAACCCCAAACCACCCATTAAAGTTTCAAAAATATTCATCTTCTCGTTATTGTTTTGGAACAGCACAGATAGCAACAATATCGCATACTAAAGTAAAAAATTAAAAAATTGAGAAGTAAAATTTAATAAATAACATGATTAAACATTGCCAATTTAATTAACTAATTAATAAATTTTATCTCAAAAATTCTGGTTTATCAAAATTTTCACAAGATTACCAACAAGGTTGGTTCAGCGATAAATTTCGCTTGGGTTCGAAACCCCGTAATCCCTTGTTGGGAGCTATTTTTATACCATTATTATTATTTTTTTCTCCACAAGATCGAATGATTGGACTTGTGAATCTTATGTTCAAATCTAAGAAACTACATTAAAATAATCTACATACTCTTACCTTTTTGCTTCCATGTTTGGCTGTTTGCTCATAGAGTCTATACTCATGCATGATCCAATTCGACTTTGTTCCTTTGGGAGCTTTACCCACATAGAAAACCAGAGCTTTCTTGATTCCAACCCTTCGTCCCTCTGTAGTAATCACCTTATCAGTTCCAGTAGCCTTCCAATACCCCGACCCGGCTACCCGATTTGGCCTCGACCCGTTTGGGTACTTCCGATCTCTTGGACTGAAAAAGTACCATTCTTTCTCTCCAAACATGGCCTTACCTACAAACCCAACCACCAAAACCCATATTCAAAACAATTGAAAAAAAATTATTTTATCTATTAAATTATCACAAATTTTCCTATCTAAATTTTCAATTTCATCAAATTGTCTATAAAATTTCTGATTTCAGTACATGCAATCTAATTGAAGAAAATTTTATAAATCAATAATCGATGAAACATAATTAGTTGGATAAAAATGTCATTTTAAATTTAAACAACTTAATTATACTTTTAGGTCATGTTTGATTCACAAAACTAATAGTGAAGTATTAATAATCCTATTAATTAGTGTGGTATTCACTATCCAATTGGATTAATATTCATTGGATTAATAATCTCACCCCTATCCAATTGCTAATAATCCTACAAATTTGTTAGATTAATTATCCTAAACCAAAATATTAAAACAAACATAGGATAATTGGACCCACGGATTAATAATCCTAATCTCATGCTCTAATCCATCCAATCAAACATGCCCTTAAGCACTCATTTTATTTACTATTTTGAAAAAATTATAGTTTAAATAATTTAAAATTTGAAATAAATTTTTTGATCATTAAATTAGGGTTTTTAACCGTTATTGATTTCAACAATATTATGTAAATAGATAACATGAATTGAAATAAGAATTTAAAAAAAATAAATGGATGAAATTAATCATTTAGATATAAAAAAAATAGTTTTTTAGATGCAAAACCGAAATTAACTATTTAAAAAAAAAAATTGATTTAAAAGGTGTGGGTGTCCGGGGCATACCATAAATGTCGGAATTAGAAAATTTATGAAAAATTACTTTTGCAGTGTAGTTTCGATAATTAAATAGGAGTAATTGTGTGAAGAATATACCCAATAACTATTCGGGATAATCTAAAGATTTAAATAAAAATAATAATAAAAAACATTGAAAACAATTTTGAATGGTATAGGATGAGAATCTTACTGGGCAAAACCCACGGGTCGAACTTATACAAATCGATATCTGCAATGATCTGAAGAGAGAAGTGGTGCCCAGCGACTTTTCGGCATAAGTACTGAACCAGAAGCTCTTCGTCCGTCGGGTAAAACCGGAAACCCGGCGGCAAACTCAGCTGGGTAAGCGGGTTCGTATCGGAAACTCCCATTTTCACTATGATTTCTAGAGAGAGAAAGTGAAAGATTTTGAGAGGGAATTCAAAGAAAAGAGAGAATTGCGAATTTTCTAAAATTTCTATTTTTGGGTTTTTTAATTGTAGAGAGGAAGAGAGGTTATTTATACACGCGAGGTGTGACGGAGGAGAAATTATCCTGTATTTTAAAAAATTTAATTAGATTGCGTGTTTTTTAATTTTATATAATACATACAAAAAATGATAAATATATAATCAATAGAATTATAAACACATATCAGATAGAATATGGGATAAACCTACGTGATTATTTTTCTTCACGGATAGATAAGTATGTTCCTCGTCGTCTTACTGTTGAGAAGTGGGACCTTCTAGTTTATCACCGCTAAAAATGTGCCACGTATAAAGAGCTTCAATGCTATCAAACGGGCGACGTTATCATATCGATTCTTTTGGCAGCTTTTGTGCTAGTGCTAGTATTTTTGTAAGTTAATTTTTTTATTCATTATTATTATTATTATTATTATTACTATTTTGTATTAAATATGTTGATTTTTAGTCTGTATAGAGTGGATTTACAAGATTAAAAACTATCAAAAATAAATAAAATTTTAAAAGTATTTTCAATAAAATTTAATTTATATTTTAATAGTTTATTATGACCGTATCTTTATTTCTCTAAAATGAGTCATTTATTTGAATAGATTGAATTGCTTCCATCTTAAGTCATTTGGGCTAATGGTTGTGGCTTGATCAGGAACCACAAGCTTTCACAGACATATTGGCAAAGCATTCCTAATAATTTGTTATTGTTATTATTATTATTATTATTATTATTTTAGATAATTGAATATTTGGGTCAGCTAGGTCATATTGACTAATTCTAAGGTTCCAAATCTCAAGGGTTTAGAATATAACAATGATTCATCCCACTAATTTGGGAGCACTAATTGATCACTAATGATGTGAAAATTTAAAAAAAAGAAAAAAAAAAAAAAACTTAAGACCAAAACATCACATCAATAAGTGGAACCTACCAATTAGTGCTCTCCTAGTGCTCTTAAATTAGTGGTCTTAAACATTTTTCTTTAGAATATTTGACTATGTAGAATTCTATCATGTGATTTAGGCCTTGTTTAGCAACTTTCTTTTTAAGTTAAAAGTCAAAAAGTTATTAAATTAGTCAAAAAGTCAAGAACTCATAAAAAAAGTCAAAGATTCTCTTTTCTCTCTACTTTTTGCACATCTTTTCGTAAAAAGTCAAAAAGTCATCCTAAATATACTAGTTTTTTTTACCTCATATTTTAGCCAAATAGCTAAAAAGTTACTAAATTAGTATGTTCCCAAACGAGGCCTTATTGAATAATAAGCTATCTCTTAGAATTTATGAAACCATTTGAACCAGAGGTATGCGTTGTGCCGTTCGGACTGTTTAAGAATAAAATTACAAATCGAACAACAGGTTAGTGGATTAACAGATTGACAAATTGTGATTTGGATGGATTTTAGCGAATTGAAGAATATTCTAACTAATTATCATACATTTGCATAATATATAACACTAATTTGTATAATATTTTTTAGATATATAACACAAAGTAATTTTACATGATATGTTTCATCTATATAACCATTAATTTGTAATAAATTTTATATCTTAAATTTCTCTGACACTCATTTTTACGTTGATATTTCATTAGAAGTTAAAAAATATATATGTAGGACCAGTTTGGTTGACAGATTATAAATTTTAAAGTTTAAACTGCGGTCAGCGATTAGAGCAGTGCAAATTGATATGGATCAGTGCGATTGTAACAGATTGAATGGTATTTTACACTACCCTAATTTAAACATAACTCTTAACCTTAATTTAAAAAACATTGAACTAAAAGTAGATGATAGACTGATTGCAAACCTTTTGAATAGTAAAAATATCATTATTCACAAAATCAAAATATCATTGTTGACTATATATTCTTTGTGAAAAAATTAAGTGAAAAACAAGATTAAGTATTGTCATTGCGAGGCAAACAATTTTGCGGAATTGGTAAAAAAATTGGACAATTAATATATAACTTTATTATATCATTTTCTTTATGTATCTTCTAATTATGTTTCAGTCAAATTAACACTTGAATCTTGATACTAGTAACTAGCAGACTTATTTAATTATTATTTTTTTAATAAAAAAATACCCCTTTAACTGTATATATATGTGGGAAAATGTCTCCGAACCCCAGTGGGGGTGCTGGGAGTCGTGTGTGTAGGGCCCTGATTGGGCGGAAAAAAAATTATTTTTTTTTTTGTTTTTTTGTTCTCAGCCAATGAGGCCGCGCCACGTCACTGGGGGTCTGTAGCATTGTTCATATATGTGGACTGCTCTCAGGAGAAGCGGTCGTAGTTGGCGAATATTTAAAAAGAATGGTAAATTACATATATCTCCCTTGAGGTTTTGTTAAATTATAGATACTTTTTTGAGATTTTAAAAATTACATCCCGCCTCCAAAGGTTTGTATTTTTATAATAATTTACTCTTCAAGATTTAAATTTCATAACAAATTACCTTATAATTTGTTATGTAAATATAGCATTGAGAGAAAAATTTATAATTTCTCAAACCTCAAAAGATATTTGTAATTTAGTCAAACTTGGAGAGGTATATATAATTTGTCCTAAAAAAAAAAAAAAAAAAAAAAGGAAAAAAAAAAAAAGGAGAAGAAATGGGATGGCGAGAGGTAAATAAAGCAACAAAAAGATGACGGCGGAACCATGCGTTGACACGTTACCGCTTTTTTAGTATTATTATATTCTAATCTTTTGCACTTGCTTTTCGTGTTTTTCTGAAGTGTTTTACATTGTTTTTACCCATAGAATGCTACGCGGTCAAGTCGATGGTCCTCCCCAAAACTTCTTTATTTATTCTTTGATTGGGGCCTCTTTTGTATTGGGCTTCTTTTGTAATTTTGTGAACGTGGAACCCTGTGAGTTGAGAGAGACGAATTTGGGTTGGGATGTTGAAATGTTTGGTTTGGTGGGTCAGAATGGCCATATCGAATTTTTTTTTTTTCACAACACAATAATATTTGAGAGTTCTAATTTAAGAATTCTAATACAATTCTAATAATATGAAGAATATTCATGTGAAGGTTGGACTCTACACTCGTCTCTCTATCTCTCTCTGCTCTCTCTCTCTCTTTTACCTCACTAGAACTCTATTTAGAACTCTTAAATTAAAATTATGCATCATTAATCTTTACAACTGTGTAGACGAGTTTTTGACAATTACAAATACCATTCCCACCTCCAAAAAGAAAAAAAAAATTAATTAAAAATTATATTCCATAGCTTTGGGATATGGCTATTGAAAAATATCTTCAAGAAACTCTTTAAAAAAAAATTAATTAGCTATTATAATTAATTTTATAGTATTTTCTTCACTTTAACGAGTTAATAAGTATAATAGTTATTTTAACTAGATTTTTGCAAGTCATGTTCATTTAGAGAGTGTTGAGAAGTTTTTGAAACTAATTTATTTGAATAAATATGTAAAATAAAAAGTAACGTTGAGCTAAGTAAAATAAAAAAATATACCATTTTAATTAATGAAGAATAAAAAGTAACACTAGAGTTGAGGTGTGCCTCACTCATGATTTGTTTGATTGTGAAATGAACAATCGAATTGATATTTCAATCGATTTAGCAACCCATTTGACAGTCAAATTAGCTTGGCTGGGTGAGATATGGGATTGGAAAAGGAGTTCAATGGGATTAATATTTGAAAGACTTTTTTGCCCCTTTGCCCTATATCAATCAGCCAAACTATATAAGTTTTTTCCCTTGTCCATTTTTTTTGCAAACATTCAGCTACATACTAGTGGCATTTACGAAATTTTATATATTAAACCCATTTAAACTAGTAAAATAATTTTTTTTTTATTACTATGGTATTATTAATTTGATAGCATACAAAAAGACATTCCTTATTTTACTTCTCTAACAAATTGTTTAAAATAACTAAATTGTTTTAGGATTAAAGTCATAATCATTTTGGAGGGACTTAGCTTAAAATTCTTTTGCCACCATTGACAGATATTAATCTAACTAGCTTTTTACCTTTTTTTTTAAATAAAAAATAATTTATAGTGGCTTTTAGATTCACAAACTTTATTATTAATTTTTTTGGGGGTACTTTTTTATTGCCTTTGAAATGAAAGGCCTACATCAAATGGTGAGTTCTTTTTATGTTATCTTTTAGATCACTTTTTCTAAATGATTCCAAGGCAATTAAGCCCCCGTTTGACAAGTTAGGTTAGGGACTTTTTTAGTTATTTTAGTCACAAAAAATAAAATAAGTTATTTTACTTATAAAAAATAAAATATCACATTCAACCCATAATTATTACACTCTTCTCTCACAAAAAAAGTCAAAAAAGTTAAAAAGTCAAAAAGTCCTTCTCAAACCAAACTTTTTAACCCAGGCTAAAATAGTCAAAAAAATTAAAAAGCCAAAAGCTAACCCACTTCCCAAACTAACCCTAAATCATGAAATACAACTTAGACCATAGGACGCATAAAGTGATTTCAAGTACAATAATTTAAATCCAGCTCAAAAAAAAAAAAAAAAAAATCAATAATTTAAACATGGAGTCAATTGGTTTGCCCAGTCCAAATCCATCGAATTTCAGATATTTATGAAAATATTCACCTAATTTTAGAATATCTCTTTTGTGTATTTTGTTTTTATTTCTTTTCTCATTTGACAGTTCACATTCTTATTTATGCCAAACCCACTAGCTAGCCTACCCCCATTTGAGATTTGAGACATGAAACACTGTTCTTTTCAGATTGTACCATTGTTTTTTTGTTGATGTAGGTATTAATAATTGACTCATCGTCTAAAAATAATAATGGCAAATAATATCATGGTTATACACCGATAAAAAAAGAAAAAATTAATGGCATATAATAATCATTACAGTATATAAAAATTTAAAAAATCTTTAACAAATGCACATATAGGGACAACAATTTCTTGTAAAAAAAATTTACTTTTTAAAACGAAAATTTTGATCTTAGAAAGATAATAATTCGTTACTAAAAGTCTAATTTTGTCACTAAAAAACAACAATGACATTTTTAACAAAATTACAAAAAAAAATTTTTTTTTTTTTTTCTTTTTTTTTTTTTTTTTTTTTTTTTTGAAATAAGAATTAAGATAAGAAATCAAATTATTATTATTATTATTTTTTTTTTTTCTTTTTGGGCTTGGAAATAGGTTGGCCTCTTATATATATGCATATATATTCAGAATATATGAGGCCTATTCCATATATCACACCTTTTTTTTTTTATTCTATTTAAAGAGATGGCTCAAAACCCTAAATCTCACAAACTTTTGCACAGCCGCCGCACCATTTCTCAGCCTACTCTCTCTCTAAAACAAAGACCAACCCAGGCCTTTTGTTCTTCAACAAATCTGAGGCTAACGCCATTTGCATGCTGGTCGGCGCAGCTCCAAGCAACACCATCGAAGACCCACGCCACTGCCACGGCAGGCCAGCACCAGCACCAGCTGCTTCCATTTACTTCTCATTTCTTTTCAAAACCTTTCTTCTCTTTGAAGTATTAAAGAATTGACTCTTATTCTTTTCCAGGTTGCCCACTGTCGCGGATCCGATTGTTGCCGATGCTACTATCCGAGCTACTATTAGCACATTCCGACACTAGCTCTACTCCACCCTCAATATTTCACTTCAATCCAGCATCAATTTCTCAGAGCTCCGGACTTACCAGAGCTTAATCTTGCTTCCACAGTCGCCGAAGATCCACGCCGCTTGGCGCCACTACTGCAGATGCCATGACCCAAGTTTCTGCTAGCTCACACCGTCGCCAGCTCTAGTCCGTCTTTAGTGCTTCATTTCGGCCCAGCAACGCGACTTCAGAACTCCGAACAGAGCTCAGTCTTGCTCTGCCGAAGACCACCACTGTTTGCAAATGTCATGACCCAAGCTGCTGTCCACCTTTCTTTGCTACAACTTTGCCTTCATCTTTGGTTGCCCAGTGCTTTGCCTTCGTCTTCGGCTGTTCAACGCGAACCACACGTCGCCCACTCAACGCGATGTGTGGTTTTGCTGGATTCGGCCGTGATTAATCAACGTGGACCACGTCGCCCTTTCAACGCGTCGTTGGTCCGTCTAGCACCCTTTCTCGTCCACTGTCCGTGCTGGCGATACGTGCTGCCACCGACCTGTTCTGACTGTCTTGGGCCATTTTGGTGCTTGGTTCGGTCTTATTTCTTGCTTCCATAGTGCTTGCTTCTGCCCATTTTTTTTATTTCTTCAAAACTGATTCGGATCTGATGATATACTTCATAAATTTTAACTATTAAAGTTATAAACTTTGTTATGAGTATGTAATTATTTTGAAAATCACACTTGATCTGTAATTTCTCAAAAAAAAAATCGAGACTAATCAGCCCTTATTTGTATTTACTATATTTTTTTTAGAGCATTCTTAGAAGTGGAAAATTATTAGATACTCTCTTAATATTCTTATTATGTGACATTCTTTTTGATAATTTTAGCATATTCTTAGAAGTGGAAAATCATTAGATACACTCTTAATATTATTATTATTATTATTATTATTATTATGTCACATTGTTTAGGCGGTAGTTTCAGCATTCATCACCACAAGAAATTAAAATTTTAGAAATAAAAATTTATAGACAAAATCACTTTTTAAGAACAAAATATTTTTATCGTCAAAAGTGTTATTATTTTATTTTTAGCGACAAAATTAGACATTTAGTGATGGATGTGATGAATTACTAACCTTTTGAGTTATTTTGTACCTAAAAGTGTATTTATTAGCAACATTTTTTTAATTTTATCTCTAAAAGCTCAATTCTTAACTTTTGAAGACAACCTTTTAACGATTATTCTCGCGCCAACTGAAATTAATTCTTAAATATTTTTTTCAACAAAATTTATATTTTTAGAGATGAAAAAATTTGATCTCTAAAACTATTATATGTTGTAGTGCAAAGAAAGAAGTTGAACCCTCGCCATGATGCAAACACGGAATACTAATAAATAAATTTTACAAACTTTTTTAATTAACTGACGTAATACCTATACTATAATGAGTCTTATTTCAAAATTTAAAATTTCATTTCAAATGTATTACTAGCTATCTACTGGGTATGAAATTTCATCAAGATTTCTCAATGCAATCAAATGAAAAAGCATTCAATCCTCATTAGCGCATCTCCAACAGTGTATCAAATATTTTACTAAATCTGAGTAAAAATTTGAGGAATTTCTCTATCTGATATCCAGCTCTCCAACGGTGAATTTTTGGCTATCAAAAAACTTCGATAGACCGGTAAGTGCAGTTCGAAAAATCTGTTTCCCTCCATTTCTGTTTCCCTCAATTCCTTTGCCATTTCTGAAGCAAAGTACCTCTCTCTGCAGAGCCTCATCAAGCTCATAATTATCATCAAGCGTTATGTCTTTGGCATACAACTAGGCTAAACAATTCCGAATCCTGAAAAGGATAAAAGAAGAACACAATTTCAGTCAAAACAACTACTGACCAAATAACAATATAAATCCACAGTCTGGTTCTTGAAAGCATCAAAAACTTCTTCAAGTGATTTTTTCAATTGCACCACAAGTCTTTTAAGGGTCTCCTCAATGTCTGATTCAGTTGTTGCAGATGCCTCGTCAGCAAAACTCGCCTTTCTTCAACTTAATCCTTAGTCTGTAAGCTATCTGAACCTCCTCAGCCAAGTTGGCTCAGTTAAGCATGTGAGAGAAAAATTTACCAATGACAATAGAATCCCCAGCGTCAATAAGTAAATAGGTTGAGTTATATACTCTACCAGTTTTCTAACAAAGCAGCAGGTAGTGAGATAGATAATCAAATTGAACCAAAACATGCAATTTCAGACAACAAATTAAAAAATGAATATGCCTATTTTCAACCAAATGCAAAGGTGATACATCAAAACTAGCCGACGAGTAATTAAGTATACATTTTATTGAAATTAGAGAGAGAGAGAGAGAGAGAGAGAGAGTACAACTTCAGACAAGAAATCCAGAATGGGGTTTGCCTCTTTATGTTAAACAGAAAGTGGATCTGATTGGAAATTAAGTAAGCAATTTAGCAGAAGAATGTAAATGTACTCAAGAAAACCCAAAGAGGGCATGAAAGGTTCTCAAAATTAATGAAAATCTATAAAATTTGACTAGGAAAAAAAACGAGGGGATAAATTTTTAGAATAAATTAAAAAATATCTTTGAAACCCAAAAGGGAAAAAAAAATGCAAACTTAGAGCATCTCCAACGATAATAGGCATTTTACCTATCTAAACATTACTATAAAGTATACATTTTATTTTGCCTATCAACTGTTTCATATTTCTGCTCCAACCATGCTCTTTATTTTAACTATTCATCAAAATACTATTAATTTTATAAAATGCCACATCAGCAACAAAGATTGAGGAAAATAATCCTACTGATTAAATACATTTTGCCTAGCCTTGAAGGCTAGCTACATGTAGCTAGTGAATATGAATTGAGCTTAAATGTCTAATTACATGCCTAGTGCATTGAAATTGAAAAAAATGAGTCATACTAGGCATTTTACCTAACAAGCATTATATACCTAGTGCATTGGAGATGCTCTTAGAGAGCAGCAATACACACTTAAACATGAAAATTAAAAAAAGAAAGAAAAGGGAAATCAAATGGGGAACACAGTAGATTTAGCAATATTTCTGATTGAATTTACACAATGAACTAAATCACAGAGCAAAACAAAACACAGATATTTAAAAACAAAAAATTGAAAAAATTAAAATTGATTATCGTCTCTCTAATTTCCTCTCCATGTAAATGCTGAAGAATATCGAGAAATCGATCCAACAACAGAGCATCATACTCTACGAATTTGTCATCTTCAGAGACCTTCCCAGGAGCCAAAAGCCTCAACTGGGCATCAATCGAGGCCATTTTCTCCAAATTTCGAGTACTCATTTCTCACAAAGACAAGGGTTTAGAAGAATTGAGAAACAAAAGAAAAAAAAAAAAGTAGAGTGTTGAAAGCAAAGCTAAATATAATAAAATGAGATGAATCTCGTGATATTCATGCAATGATCTCTACACGGTCAATGGAGGAAACAGCAAGATCAGAAGATTGATAGATGATCTGGTCTGGGGTTCTTCGTCTGTGATCTGGCCTGGAATTTTTCAACTAAGAGGATGACCGGGTGGACATTAGGCCGGTCCCAGTGGGTGAATTCCTCAATAGCTATGCACAGTAAAATATTGAAAGGTGTCAAATATTGAAAGGTGTCAGTCATCTTCAGTTTTAATAGCAGAGCCAAAAAATTGAATTTGTAGAGTACTTAGGCCTCGTTTGGGAACAGGTTAATTTAGTAATTTTTTGGCTATTTGGTTAAAAAAATAGGTAAAAAAAATTTGTACGTTTGGGATGATTTTTTGGCTAATTACGAAAAGATGTGCAAAAAGTAGAGAGAAAAGAGAATCTTTGACTTTTTGGTATGGGTTGTTGGCTTTTTGGCTAATTTAGTAACTTTTTGACTAATTGGCTAAAATAGCCTCTTGCCAAACGAGGCCTAATTATAATGTTGAAAATTTTTATAAAAATATTACACTCAAGTTTTTATAATTGATTTTGAGAAACATCAAAAAAATAATGTTATTTGTAACTAGTGTATCATGAACAATATAAAAAATATATAGATATAAGCCTTAAGATAAATTATATAATGATAATATTTTTTTATATAAAATTTAATTAAAAATTCAATATAATGGTAATACCACGTTATCATTGATATGTGATATCACCAATTAATAGTATATAAACACATAGAGAGTGAATCTCACATATCAAATGTAACTAACAATCTTATAAATTTCATATCTTTATAGTGAGATTACTTATACTTGCATGTCAATAATAATGACATCACCGTTACATTCAAAAATTTTTATAGATAATATAGTTTACAGTATAGAAAATATAGTTTACAGTAATCTCTTTATTTTCAATTAAAATAACCATTATTATTCTCATAATTTTTAAAATTTCATTGATATTTCGCTCTAATAATATTTTATATTTTTTTTATTTAAAATATTTTCTTTATGTTTGTAAAATTTAAAAAAAAAAAAATCTCAAAATCTAGAGGGGCACCTAATTCTCCTGACCCTTCACTCCCTCTGCCACTATTCAATTTGGTGAAATATTTTTTATATTCTCAATATAATATAGATATGATAAAACTATTTGAATAAAAAAAAAATTAACAAATTTAAATTTAATAATAAATTTAATGCAACGTTGGAGATGGCGGTAGACAACCTATGCTATGAGTATGTAAACTATGAGCATTACAGCCAAAGCAACCATAGAGACGACTTGTCCACACTCATTCCCCCGGGCAGCAAGTTCTCGAAAATTACACTAGTACCTCTATATTTTATGATATCTATAGAATGTATATTAAGATTACCTCCTAGTTTTTTGAAAATGATTTTATTAACCAGCCCCGCTACAGACCCCCACAATGGTACTGTTTGGTGTAACTGTTAAAACAGATTATAAATTATAACTTAACAGATTATACATTATGACTTTAATCAAAAGCTGTTAATTTATTTGGTATAACTGTTAGATTATAGATTTAAGTTGCTGGGTAGTGTTTGTTATATAAGCTGTGAAGTAGCTTTTTCAATTAATTTTTATTTTTTATTATTCACTATTTGTCTACATTTCTCATAAAAAATAATAATAATATTTTATAGTCCATTTGGGTCTTTTTCTATTTTAAAAAAAATAAAAAACAAAAAAATTTAAGAGTATAACCGTGAATTAACATATCCACAACAGAAGTTGATAATCAGAAGCAAGGGGTGAGCAGCTTCTTAGAATCAATTTTTTTGACTTAAAATAAGTTGTTAGAATCAAAAACTGTTTGAAATAAATTTAACCAAACAGTCTAAAATAACTTTTTAAAAATCAGAAACTATAAATTGGCTCAAAAAAGCCCCACCAAACACCCTCAATAACTTCACCCCCACCGCTCCCAGTGATGTGGCTTGTGGATTAGAGTTGGTTTGGACTATTGCAATATGCAAAGCGTGAACACACGCGTTCTGAAATAAAATAAAAAAATCAGAATGCTTGGTTAGAGTTTTTCAAAAACTCTTTTCAGAAAATTCTATTTTCTTATTTTTCGTATATTTTTTATTTTTACTGAATTTTTTTAATATTTTAAGCAATTTTTTTTTACTTTTTAGACATATCTAACATAAATATACCTAAAAAGTAAAAATTTTATAAAAGAAACCTTTTAAAAATTCACTAAATACCAAAAATACAAAAAATAAAAATAAAAATTCAGTACATTTTTTGTATTTTTATATATTTATTAATTTTTTTAAATATTTTTTCACAAATTTTATACTTTTTAGATAGATCTAAATAAGGTGCATCTAAAAAAGTAAAAAAATATTTAAAATTTTAAAAATATTCACTAAAAATAAAAAAACATGAAAATTAAAAAACTTAGTCCAAAAAACTCAAACCAAACAGTGTTGTGCTCTGTTTCCTTCACCTTCTCTCTCCCTTTCTCTCTCCTCCTCCATCTCTCTCTCTTCTCTTCCCAGTTCTCTGCTAGATTTGTAAACTGCAAAAAAAAAAAAAGAAAAAAAAAAAAGGAGGAGCTCCATAACCACCACAAACCAAATCCAAAATCAAACCCAAACCCAAAATCTATTTCCTTCAATATATATGTTTTTTTTTTTTTTTTTTAACTCTTTATTCTCAATTTCCTTCAATATATATGTTTTTTTTTTTGCTTTCTTTCCATTCTATTCCAATCCAAGACTAACTTTTTAAAAACCCAAAATGAGAAGGGAAAGAAGAGTTGTTCTTGAAATTTCAAAAACCCATTTCAATACATTGTAAATCCGCAATGAAGGTTTAGAAATGGCAAGAATTCTAATGAACATTTGATTGAATTTGGTGATATGCATGTCATTTATATCATATAAATGTGATGAAATTGAGTTGTTAGTTATGAAGAATGAATATAGGCTGGTAATCTGTCAAGGCTTTCAACCAGGGATTGAAAACTCCAGCATTCCCCACCCCGAAACTTTTCTGATCTCTCTCTCTATCTCACTACTTTCTCTCTAGTCTCTCTATATCATATGACATATACCCTCTGTACCTTCACTCTCTAAAAACTCTTTTTCCTTTTCTCTCTCTCTGTCTCTGTCTCTCTCTTTCTCTTCTATCCACCGCCGATGCCGACCGTTGATTTCCCTCCCCAACTCCTTTTTCCAATGTCGACACCAAACCCAGCAAACACGAAGCTCTTCTCTCTTTCTCTCTACTAACGAACGGCAACACGGCAACCCGATGACGAATGGTGGTGGTCGGATCTCCTTATCGTGACGACGGTGGTGGCCGGAGCAATAGTGAAGAGAGAAGAAAGAGAGGAGGGTTGAATGGTTTGCACAGATGAGAATAGGGGTGAGCATGGTCCGGATTAGACCGGATTGGAGTAAAACCAAGACCAATCCGTTATCTACGGATCCTAAAAAATTAGAACCAATCCAATCCATTTAAATCATGGAGCCAATCCGAACCAATCCATTTAAACACGGATTGGATCGGTTTAGGACCACGGATTTGCATAATTAAATAACAAAAAAATATATATAAGACTTTAATTTCATAAAAATATAAATATAGTACCATATTAGTTTCACAATAGCAACATATCTTTTCATAATAGCGACAAACTGTTTTAGAATTTAAACAATCATAAGAGAATTAGTTCCACCATAAATATTTAGACCATTACAAATTAACACTAAAAACTAGCAAACAAAAATAATAAAAGAAGATACTATGCAAGTTTAGGCTTGGATTTAAATTTTGTATGAAATAAGAGAAGATACTATGCAGGATGGTGTATAATAAAAATATAGACTATTTGTATACGGTCCGGATCGGTTCCAATCCGGAACTGTGGGGTTCAATCCGGAACTGTGGGGTTCAATCCGGAACCAATCCGTGAATTACGGATTTTTAATTTTTCAATCCGGAACCAAACCACGGATTCAAAAAACTAATCCAAACCTATTGGATTGGACTGGACTGGATCGAATTACGGATTTCACAGATTCCTTGCTCAACCCTAGATGAGAAAGAAAAAAGAGAGATGAAGGATGAGATGGTTGTGTGGACTTTCATTCACATGACCCCATCCACGTCAGCTAGCGGTCCGTGGGGGTCACTAAAATGGAGATCGGAAGCATTTTTGTTTATTGACTATCTATTTCATTAATTTTTCACAATGTATAGTGATGTAATTTTCAACTTTCTCATGCTATTTCATAGCATTAATATAATTTAGTCATTTTTATCAACAGAAGAGGTGTATCCCACCAATTTTTTAGTTTTTTTGTTTAAAAAAAAATATCAAAGACAAATGTATACTTTTTATGTACTATATATTGTCTACAAACAAAATAGTTTTATTAATAATTCAAAACTTTAGAAAAGAATTTATACGAAAAATAAATTTGTTAGATTTATTTTTGCCCTAAATTATTATTTTTTCACAAATCTTACCTAAGAAATTATCTTTTATCAGTAATGTATTAAAATTAAATATTTTTTTTAATGTATACACCATGCTCCCCCTCCCCCACCCTATCTTGTTTCGTCCCCGCCCACAAATTGAAGGAAACTTCCCCAGCCAAACAAGTCTTATTTTCGCCACACGGTGTTGTGGGGCTTGTATGTGTACTGGCTAATAGAAATGTACTTGGACCAGTAATCAGAAATTTAATATAGGACACTTATTAATTATAATTATAATTTTTTTTTAATCAATAACAATAATATAATAATAATTTTTCGAGCTAATATTGAACACAAAAAATTAATATTAGCACAAATTAATATTTTTAATTTTAGCACAAATTAAATCCCTAATTTTTACACAAACAACAACAAACCAAAATTCTTAATTTTAACATAAATCACCACCAATCAAAATTCATAATTTTAGCACTTCAAAATCTCTTATTCTATCATAAATAATAACAAATAATTTTTTCTGCTTTTGCAAAATCAAAACTTAACAAATAACTATAAATTAATACTCATAATTTTTATTTAAAAGTAAAAATAATAAATAAAGTTACCTGCAAACAATGAAAAGAAGACACAAATATTGTAGTGTGGTCCTAAATCTGTGTTGTGTGATCCCAATCTAGTGAATCGCGAGTCGGTAAATTACAAAACAACAAAG